TATGCTACATTTTGTTTATCCACCCATTTGTTGATTGTCACTTGAGTTGTTACCTCTTTGGCTGTTAGGAGTAGTGCTGCTGTGAACAGTTACGCACAAGTGTTTGCGTGGACGTGTGTTTTCACTTGTCCTGGGTGCACTCTGCGGAGCGGGAGTTGCTGGGTTCCATGGCAGTCTGTGTTTGACTGTCTGAGGAGCCGACAGCATGTTCTCCATGGCAGCTGTCCTGTTTCACATTCCTGCATGTTCCAATCGCTGTGTGATTCTGAAATAAACCCAGGTCTAATTTAATCTTAAAATATGTCAGTGTGTAATCAGAAAAGATGGGGATTTCTTTTTCAAACATAACCACTAAGAATAATATAGTCAAATGTCTAATCAATGTTCAAATTTCTAGTTGGCTGTAAATGTCATAAACATAATTTAATAGCTTGTTTGAACCAAGATCCAAATAAGGTCTATGTATTACGTAAAGTTATATGTCCTTTAAATCTTTTTTTTAAGATTTTTATTTATTTATTTATTTATTTTTAGAGAGGGAAGAGAGGGAGAAAGAGAGAGAGAGAAACATCAATGTGCGGTTGCTGGGGGCCGTGGCCTGCAACCCAGGCATGTGCCCTGACTGGGAATCGAACCTGGGACACTTTGGTTCGCAGCCCGCGCTCAATCCACTGAGCTACACCAGCCAGGGCTCCTTTAAATCTTTTAATCTACAAGTTTACTTCCACATCTCTTTCTCTTATTTTATTTTTGCCTTGTAATTTGTTTGGAAGAAACCAGGTCCTTTATCCTGTAGCAGGTTCCACAGTCTGGATTTTGTTGGGTACATTCTTGTGGTATTATCTCATCTGTCCCATTGTCCCCTTTATTTCTGTTAAAATGGGGTTAGAGGTGCTGGATCAAATTTAGCCTTTGTTGTTTTGGCGTTTTTGCAAGGTTATTTCACAGGTGCCGCTTCCCTCGGGGCACATCTGGTTGTTATTTTTTGTGACGTCAGTAACTGAACAATCAATGCCGGGATTTTCCTTCATTTTATAAAGCAAGTTGTATAACTTTTAAAATAGACATACTGAAGGGAGAAAAATGGGTTTTCCTTTTGATAATTTTAAAATCTTGTTGGCTCTGTGCCCTGCAGAAATGCAGGCTAACTCATTGAGTTGGTCTCTGGTGGGTGATTTCTAGGGATGTCCTAGCTCTTCAAGTGCCAAGTTTCTCAAAACACCAACACACTACTCACAGTCACCAGCCTCGCCACAGCCCTCTCCAGAGATCTGGTAAGCGATCTGGAGATGGATGGAAAATATACAGGATTCTCTTAACCTCTGAGAGCCTTCTAGAACTTGTTGATATTAATACAAATGAATATGTAAGTTATTGGAGGGGAGGGGCTTACTTAAAGAGGGTGGTTTTTAACTGGTAAACCTTTACACTTAGAATTTTTGGTTTGAGAAGACGTGTGGAGTCAGCACAGGTTGGGCCGGTCTCCATGGACGCCATCATGTGACCTCACCTCGGGACCTCAGAGGGGCAGTGTGGTATACAGGTTAGAACCACGGATTCTAGAAGTGGACTGCCTGGGGTCGAATCCTGACTCTCCTGCCTAACAACTGTTTCACCTTGGGAAAGTTACTCAGTTTCTTTATGCTTCAGATTCTACATCTATAAAATGAGGATCTACTAAGAATGCCTACACCAGGGGAGTCAAACTCATTTTCACTGGGGACCACATCAGCCTCGCAATTGCATTCAAAGGGCCAAACATAGAGCTTCTTGCCCCTAGTTAAGGAGTAGTTACATTTATATAATCCCAAAATTACATCCAAAAAGCAACAAGGTTGCCCTTTGAAAGCAACCTTGAGGCTGATGTGGCCCCTGGGGAAAATGAGTTTGACACCCCTGCCCTACACTGTAAGGTTGTGAAAGTGAAATAAGTTAATGCATGTCAAGTGTTGAAAGCAATGCTGGACACGTGATGAGAGTTGAGCCCTTATTAAGCGTTAGCGCTCTTCTTTTTCCTAGCTGCCAGTAAGGTGCTTGGTCCTTCCGAAGAAGCTAAGGCCATACTGGGCGAGGCCCTCACTGCATCTGGCGACTAATCCTGCATCCTGCAGTGCTTGCCCACACCACGACCTCTGCCTCAGAGCTCACCTGCGTCTACTTGGCCCTTATCCTACTGGAGGATGAGGTGACAGTGACAGAGGATAAGATCTACGGTCCTGGCCAGGCTTGTTTGCAAAGGCTCTGGCCAATGTCAACATTAGGAGCCTAACCTGCAAAGCAGGGGCTGGTGGACCGGCCCCAGCAGGAGGTCTGACTCTGCCACTGCTCCTCCACCCCATTGAGAAGAAAGTGGCAACAAAGAAAGAAGAATTTGAGGAGTCTAATGATGATACAGGCTATGGTCTTTTTGACTAAAGCTCTTTTGTAACAAGTTCAATAAAAAGCTGAAATCTTGAAAAAAAAAAAAAGTTAGCATTGCCCAGAGCACTGTGGTTCAGTTCACTGGGTGTGGTCAGCGGAGTGAAAGGCCCCCTGGTTCTCGGGCCTGGGTTGCGGGTTTGGTCCTGGAGAGGCAACTGATTGATTTTCTTTCCTCCCTCCCCCTTTCTCTAAAAACAAACAGACAAAATCTTTTTTAAAAAGTTAGTGTTTACTGGTAGTCAGCTAGTTTATTTTGTCGAGCTGTGCTCCTGTCACCGCCTGCTGGTGTCTGTGTGGTTTTGACCAGGCCAGGGACCTAGAGAAGTGGGCAGAGAGCTGTGCCTCTCAGATCTCCCTTCTGTCTTCATTGGTGCGCCTCGCTGAGCCTTTCCATCCATCACAGGTGTGTGGAGCATCTATACTCAGGGCTGTGCCAAGGGCTGTGGGGACCATAAAGGAATTATAACACAGCCCTAGAATTAGAGAAGCTTACAACCTTATACAGGGACCCTTACCATTTTGGGACTGGGGGGCAAGTTCCATAGACACCTCACCCATCTGTTAAATACATTGGTACTGTTCCCTTGGAGCACATCAGAACTAGTCACTCTGTTACCTGGTTTTGAAAAATGTGTAAGTGGTTCATGAAATCAATGCAGAGGATGGTGACTGGCTTTTTATAAGAATGGAATAGAGCACAATAGAAAGTATCGGAGTGTTTCCTGCATAATCGTTATTTTGTGAAACTTATCTTTCTTTTTATTGTATGAATTTTTTTTTGCAAATTGTTTTTTTTAAGATTTTATTTATTTATTTTTAGAGAGGGGAGGGAGGGAGGGAGAAAGAGAGAGAGAGAGAGAGAGAGAGAGAGAGAGAGAGGGCATCAATGTGTGGTTGCTGGGGGTTATGGCCTGCAACCCAGGAATGTACCCTGGCTGGGAATCGAACCTGGGACACTTTGGTTCCCAGCCCGTGCTCAATCCACTGAGCTACGCCAGCCAGGGCTGTGAAACTTATCTTTCTATTTTGGATATTTGTATTGGAACTAGGTCACCATGCACAGTATGTTTCTTACTATGAGTTATAGTCAAGTGTATGAACAGCACTGCAATATGTAAGATTATTATTTTTATTTAAAATAATTTATGTCCTTTTAAAAATTATAAACGAAGTAGGAACAAGATGTAGGTCTGTGCTAAATGGATTAGTTCCTGTGCTATCACAAACTACCAGAAAGTGGTGGCTTCCACAACAGAACCTGACTCTGTCGCAGTTGTGGGGGCCAGAAGTTTGAAATCGAGGTGCTGTCTCTCGGAAGGCTCTGAGGGGAGGACGGTCCCTTGCCTCCTCTAGCTTCTGGCGGCTGTTGGCTTATTTCTCAGCATTGCTTGATCTCCGCCTCCCTTTTCACACCCCCTTTCCTCTCTCCTCTGTCTTTCTTTTACAGAGACACTTGCCGCTGGATTTAGGGCCCGCCTGGATAATCCAGGGTTATTTTATTAAGATCCTTCCTTACATCTACAAAAACCCTCTTTCTAAATAATGTAGTGATCACAAATTCCAGGGATTAGGACATGAACATACCTCTTAGGGGCCACCTTTCAACCTTCTACACTAAGTAAAAAGTGAAGTATTGGTCTCCATACCTTCTAACCCTGCACCCAGGCCAACCACTCATCCCGCTGAACACAGGTGTGGAGCTAGACAAGGGAAAGTGGTGACTACGCAGGAAAACTAGCAGATAAACTCAGGAGCAGGTTTAACACCCTCCCTGGAGTACCGTGGTATACTTTGCCCTGTTTTCTCCGCATGGTGGAAGGCCTGCTCTTCCCCAGAATGAAAATGAGATTCTTCAGTGTCCTCAAACTGTCCCTCATTTTCTTCTGCAGGTCCAGGAACACTTAGTTGGGGCAGGTTGTAGGCTGAATACACCATTCATTTATTTATGGTTTCTAAAGTTTAACTCATAATAATGGGGATGAGAGTGTGAGTTGTTAAAGCTTGCCACGTTTACGTACTTGAAAGTCAGAACACGGATTTGGGAAGGTCTCCAGGAGGCCCACACTGAAGTGGAGGCATCCCTGCTGTGGCTGAGGATGTCCCAGTGGCTGGAGAAAGAATGTCCCTTGTGCTTCTGGGGATCTCCCGGGATCTCCCTGGGTTGGGTTTTGGGATAAGGAATAACTGATGGGCCAGGCTGGACCCCATCTCAGCCAGTGTGAGATGGCTGTTGTAAGAAGAATTAGGAATTAATGAGTATAGACACTTTGTAAAAATAAATTGAATACAGTCAGTTTTATTGAGATTCATAGAAATCAATGTTGTATTCTATGCATACTCCACAACCCTCTGATTAAAAAAAATAAAAACTACTGAAAAACAAAACAGGGGAACAAAAACCAGGGGCAGCAGGAATCCCACTAATCCAATCACCGGAGGAAAGTCCTGGTTGGGTAAGCATTCCGTGTATTCCTTCTGTCTTCGTCTAAACTGAAGTGTTTTCACTTGGACTTTTGAGCATTGCTGCGGGAACACTGGTTTCAGTAATGACCCTTGTCTGCCTTGCCTTTCTTGTACAGGAGTCAATAGATCCACTAAAGGAAGAAGTCTCATTGGTAACAAGGTCAATGGCCCATCTCATATCTCTGGGACGGAAGTTACAGTGGAGCAGAGCTTTTCTGTGGACGAGTTTTCTGCCTCCCTCCTCACTGGGAAACTGACCACCGTCTTTCTTCCAGTCGTCTACCTGGTTGTGTTTGTGGTTGGTTTGCCGAGTAATGGCATGGCCCTGTGGGTCTTTCTTTTCCGCACAAAGAAGAGGCACCCCGCTGTGGTTTACATGGCCTGTCTGGCCTTGGCAGACCTCCTCTCTATCATCTGGTTACCTTTGAAGATTGCCTATCACATACATGGCAACAACTGGATTTATGGGGAGTCTCTTTGCAAGGTACTCATTGGTTTTTTCTATGGCAACATGTATTGCTCCATTCTGTTCATGACCTGCCTCAGCGTGCAGAGGTACTGGGTCATTGTGAACCCCATGGTGCACACCAGGAAGAATGCAAACATTGCCATCGGTATCTCCCTGGGAATATGGCTGCTGATTCTGCTGGCTACCATCCCCTTGTATGTCGTGAAGCAGACCACTTACATTCCAGCCCTTAACATCACCACCTGTCATGATGTTTTACCGAAGGAGGTGTTGGTGGGGGACATGTTCAATTATTTCCTCTCTCTGGCCATTGGAGTCTTTCTGTTCCCAGCCATCCTCATGGCTTCTGCATATGTGCTGATGATCAGAACACTTCAGTCTTCGGCCATTGATGAAAACTCAGGAAAGAAGAGGAAGAGAGCCATCAAACTTATTGTCACTGTCCTGGTCATGTACCTGATCTGCTTCACCCCTAGTAACCTTCTGCTCGTGGTGCATTATTTCATGATCAAACACTGGGGCCAGAGCCACGTCTACGCCCTGTACCTCGTAGCCCTCTGCCTCTCCACCCTCAACAGCTGCATCGACCCCTTCGTCTATTACTTTGTTTCAGAAGACTTTAGGAATCATGCAAAGAATGCTCTTCTTTGTCGAAGCGTCCGTACAGTAAAGCGGATGCAAGTATCCCTCACGTCAAAGAAATTCTCCAGGAAATCCAGCTCTTATTCTTCAAGTTCAACCACCATTAAAACCTCCTACTGAGTATTGCAGATCCTCTGGTGGGTTTCACAGGAAGAATTGGAGCTTGCTTGATGTTATGGAGATGTTTCTGTTGTTTCCTAACCAAGTGGCTCTTTTCACATACCATGTTTATGCAGCACCTCAGGATTGCTGGAAGCTTCCCTGTTTGCATGAGGAAAATCTGCCAAATTAATTCCTTTACTCAGATGCTCCTAGAAATGGAATTTATAGAAGCAGACTTTTTAGAAGGTGGCAAAAACAAAAACAACCCCAAAATCAGAAACCCTGTGACTTGCAAGAACTGGTCTTGGCTTGAAGCCTAACTTCTCAGCTGGAACTACCTTTCTTGTACGTTTGGGCTTAATAACAGTCTTGTTAGGGCTTCAGGGCCCTCAGCGATGACCAGTCCAATTGACTGACTTGACAGATAAGGACAGAAGAGATGAATGAGCTGCCCTGAGTCAGGCTTTCAACCAATGGCGTCGAGTCAGGATTGGAGAGCAGAATTTAAATGGTCAGTGGGGTTCTTGTGCCAACTCATCGGAATCATGGGAGGTCTTGTTTGAAAATGCAGTTTCGTCAGACTCGGGGGTGAGAGCTCAGAGTCTGGGAACAGGGCCCAGGAGCCTGCCTTCTAAAACGAGCCTCTGGGTGAGGCTCGCGTATACCGGGTTTGTGAGCCACTGGTGTGGCTCTGCTTCCACTTTTAAAAAGAGAAGCAAACAGAATGTTTTGTGTCTCTTTTATGTTCAGCTTTTAATGAAATCGGTTTGTTGACTTACTGGGTCTTTCAATTTCTTTATTGATCTTGAACTTTCATATGTATCGTTATCACTCTGAGGAAAATACAGTGTGGATTTTAAACATGAAAATACAAATTTTATGTAACTTTTTACTGACTTCAGTGAAGTCTTCAGATAGCCTGAGTTTCGCAACTAGAAATAGAATTTACCACTTAGTATTTTAAGAAATTATTTATTGTCAGTTTTGTTCCTCTGTTTATCAAATAGGAACTTACTGGATGTGAACCACATCTTTTTGGAAAAAAAAACACTAAAATACATGTGATTTGCAGTAAAATATCTAAGAGGTACTTGACTGCAAACTGACGATACAACTTGTATTTGTGACATTTTGAAATAATTATTTTATTGCATGATTTATAAACAATATGACTTTTTTTTACAATGTCTTTCTGAATTGTGAGTGTGTGTATGTATGTATATCTGTTTGAGGGAAGGAATTTTTAAAAAGGAAGCAATGTTATTCTTCTAAGAAGAAATGATGTAATGCTCACTCCTTATTTTTACATAAGTAGGGCCATACTGTACATACTGCTGTTATACTTGTTTTTCATGTACTTACATTTCAGAATTCTTTCCATGTCTGCATCTGGAGGTTGATCTTCATTTTTAAAAGATACAGACTGTCTAATATTTTGAGTATATTGGGATGTATCTAGTCATTTCCCTTCCTGTGGCTCCCACCCCCCATTAAAACGGGGCTGCACTGAACGCCTGCGTGCACTCTCTGTGAGCGCTCCTGCAGGCCGAGTTCCGGGAAGTGGAATGGCCAGGTGGAAATTAGATACCTACTTAAAATTTTAAATTTTGGTAACTCTTGCCTTGAGTAATTTATATTTCTACCAAAAAGTGCATTTGCAACTGTTTCCTGAAAAGCTCATCTACATTTGATGTATCCATTTTTTTTTTAAACTTTACCAATCTGTTGGGAAAAAAAAAAGAAACCCTCATTCTTTTAATTTGTTTTAAAGCAGTACAGCTTAGTTAGTGGCTGAGAGTGCAAGTTCTGAGCTGCTGGGCAAGGCTGCATTCTGACTCCATTGTTTCTTTGTCTTGTTAACTTAGATGCCTCAGTTTCCTCATTTGTAAAATGACAATAATAAGATCTTTCTCACTGAGTTATTAGCATTAAACGTTCGGCACATCTGTGCACTCATGTGTTACGTAGCATTATTGCTATTGTCCCTCTCTCTGCTAGTGAGATCTCATTTCTGGTCCACCCCCTTTCACTTCAGTGCCAGTAGAATCCTGCCTGTCTTCTTGTTTTGCTTGCTTTTAGTCTCCTAGCAGGCTCCTGGGGGGTCAATTGGTTGCCTCTCACACGCCCCCAGCTGGGGACAAGGCCCACAACCCAAGCTTGTGCCCTGACCAGGAATTGAACCTGCGATCCTTCACCTTGTGCTGTGACACCCAACCCACTGAGCCATGGTAAGAAAGCAAAAGGTGGTGGATACAGGTAGGATAAAAGGGAGCAGAAGGAAGTGTTCTTCACAGGCCCTGCAGGTGTTCCACAGGGTGATCCAGTGGTATTTGCCATTTCTTTATTGTCATTTTCATAATACATGCTAAAAGAAGTTAACAAAAATATATAAATAAAATATCTTCTTTGTTATCCTCCAAATAAGAATGAATGTACTAAAATAAGAATGAATATGTATGTGTATATAAATACATGTATGTCTTATACATATGAACTTCTCAAACAGTTCCTATGGATCTTACACATTTTTAATGGCCAGGCAGTATTCCATGTATGGGTAATCATAATTTAATCATCACACTATTGAGGATGAAGTGCTTTTCTTGGTTCATTTTTACCAAGTCTTTGCATCTACATTAAAAAGTGTAAAAGAAATGACTTGAGAAATACAACATAAAAATGTTTTTGGTGGAAGCAAAAGCTTTTCAGGTTATATTTGTTCCTTGTGCCTTGGAGAAGTGACTCACGAAGCCCCGGTCTACCTGCACTCCGCGCCCCCCGGGCTGTATCAGGAGCCCTGTTTCTGTTTCTGGGCAGAGAAGTGCCTTAGATGTGGTTGTCTTCGCTCTGGTGTTAGCTGTCTTGTTGTGGTCTGATTTTTCTAAACCACCTCACACTTTGAATATTTTGCATTCCACTGGCTCTATTTACTAAGAAGGTTTGCTCAATTTGAAAGTGAATGTGGGTTTTCATCCCACTATGCAGGACACATGCTACAGTGACTTATTTGGAATTGTTTTACTGGGCACTTCCTTGTATGTTGTGGTTCTTTGCTGCAGGAGTTTCAGGCACAATTAATTTTCTGGTTATCTCAGTGCCATAAACCCTGGAACTAGAATCTCATCAGTATGCATAGTTCCGTGATTGCATCTTGTTCCTGTAACTTGAAGCCTTTGGAGGCTGAGGAGAGGAGGGGAATGAATGTATCAGCAAATCAAAGGTGCAGTTTGTCTTTGTTGACCCCTGATCTCATCGATTAAAGGTATGGGTTTGTACTGCAGAGTTTGGATGTCTTGAAGGAGAAGTTTCTGATTCCATACTAGTCAAAAGCATGTGTCTAGTCCACCCCCGACTCCAAATTCTGAAATTAAATAAAGGAGACAAAACCCTGAGAATCTAGTCCTTCATTTTATTCAAGCCTTGGAACCTCACTGAGTTCTATTTACATATAAATAATTGGAGTCACTCTTTGCAAATGTCTTTTATTTTCCTGGAAATGTCTTTATTGAGGGAGAGTGTGAAGAATTCTGTGGTTCAGGAATAAGCTGCCCTTGCCTCTATCCATTGGTCCATCTGTGGATTATTTCCCAGTATCTGTCTTTACTGGTGAGAAACTGGGCACAACCAGAGTTCTGGGCCACCTCCCTCTGCAGAAACGACAGCCCCAGCCTGCAGGCTGCATCATGAACACCGAGCAAACCAGCAGCACCTAGAAGTGGTGTGAGTGGTTCATTCGTTCATCCCACAAAGAGTTATTGCGACATTATTGCCTTATTAAATGCAAATAATTAAATCAGAATTTCTGCTTGAGTAGCAGTGGGGTTGATGTTCTTATCAAAACACATCAATAATAACAACGAAAACAGCCAGTCCCTTCAACATTAGGCTTCCTCAAAAGCTTTCAAAGGACAGCTACTTCAAAGTGTTACAGAACACAACAAGGCGGGGCCTAGGACGATATACTATTATTGAAATAAGGCCCCGGGTCCGTTATGTCCGCCCTAGGAAAGACGTCTCTCAATGCCAGAGATTAGTGAAAAGGAAAGGAAATGTTTAATGCTATACTAACTTAAAGTAGTGACCTAATGTCTTTATCAAAAATCCTAAAGTCCCTAAAAACACCCACAAACACACAGTCTTTCCTTCCTTCCCCCTTTGCCCAGTCCAGAGAACCGTATCTCAGGAAAGGAAATAGAAGTCCATGGCTCAGGCAGTCCTCTGGTTCTTAGTTAGTCCTCCATCTCGACTGGGAAACCTCCCTGGGTTCCCGGCACCCTTGGCTGAGTTGCCAGGATCTCTGCTAAAACCAGGTGGTGGTTCCCCCTTCTAAAGCTGTGGGGGTCCCCACTCTGGCACAGGCACGTGGTCCTCTCTCCCAGGGCCATGGGAGTCTCCACTCTATCGAGGCCACGTGGTTCTCCTCCTCTGGGATGCAGGAGTCTCCACTCTGCCAAAGCCACGTGGTTCTCCCTCCTCAGGGCTGCAGGAAGGGGAGAGTCCCCACTCTGTCCAAAGCCGCATGGTTCCCCCTTAATGGCTGCCGTTTCTGGGTTTAAATCCCCCGCGCCAATCTTCTGCAGCCCCATTTCCGACTCCTCCTACACTTGGGCACTCTTGCCCTCAATCTGCTGTCTTCTCCAGCTTTTCTGGTCACCATCATGGGTCTGGGCAGGTGTCACCCCATGTCATGGAGCCAATCTTCTCCCAGCTCCCATGCAGGCGCTGTAACTCAGGGGATCTGCCCCCTAGTCACATCTTGGGGGGAAGATCCCTTTCCATCCCCCTGGCCTTGAGCATGGCCATAGCTATTTAGCATATCTAAGTGACCAGCCAAAGGCTATAGGTATGCTAAATGACCATGCCATGGATTAGCTGCAAAGCTGCCCTGCATGTTCTTGCTCTGTGTGCCCCTTCCCCCAACTCACACCTGTGGGGGAAGGGGTGAAGACACCTTAAAATCTCCTGGACACCTTGAGTTCTGGACCCCATTTCAAATGCCTATTTGGGGTCCCCCCCTCTTGGCTACACCCTGTAACAAAAGCGAGGTCTTGGAAATGGGAGAAAGTCCAGGAAAACAAAGGACAGGAAAGCTGAGGAAGGGCCACTACTGTGGCTTATCTCTCTCATCACTGTTTGGCTTAAACTTTTTTAAAAATAAACATTTTAAGATTATAAAAATGTGATTTATCTTTACAAATCTGAGAACATAAGAGCGTGTGGTAAGTGACTGTATCCCCTCTTTACCCGCTATGTCAGAACCCTTTGCTCTCTGTGTCACCGGGGAGATAAGTGTCCGTGTGCAAGTTTGTGTCCCTGTACGCTGTTTTAGTAGAACAGGAGTTAACTATGCATTACTTATATTTATACATAGCCAGTTACCTCAAAATGTAGTAGCTTAAAAACAGCAATAATCATTTACTAACTTGCACAGTTTCTATGGGTCACGAGTTCAGGAGCAGTTTAGGCAGATGTTTCTGGCTTGGGGATCTCGTGAGCCTACAGTCACCCGAAGGCTTGGTCAGGTCTGGAGGATCCAGGCAGTGTGGCTCCCTCACAGGGCTGGCTGGTTGGTGCTGGCCGTTGGCAGAAGGCCATAGTTCCTCTCCATGTGGCCCTCTCCACAGGGCTGCTCAAATGACCTCATAGCACAAAGTTTGGCTTCCTCCCAAGACAGTGATCCAAGGGAATAAGGAGGAGTCTGTAATACCTGCTAGAACTTCGCCTCAGAAGCCCAATGCGTCTCCACCATCTGCCATTGGTTACACAGTCTAGCTTCAGTTTGAGAGACTGCGTAAGAGCACTGGGAGGCGAGAATCTTTGGGGGTCATTTTGGAAGCTGGCTACCACAACAGGTGTATTGTCAAAAACAAAAATAAGTGGACCCACTTTAAAATGGAGCCATGCTAGAGGAGCTGCCCTACATGTCTAATGCCTCAGTATTTGGAATGTTAAAAAAGGGCAAAGTAATCTTTCAGCTGGTTAAGAGCAACCCTGTGTTGCAGAGAAGTGTTTGCAAAGATAACAGAGCAGATGCTGTGACTACTCCACTGAGATACTGGACTGAAAATTAAATCATTATTTAGAATTAACTTCACCATGTTATGTTATCTGCAGCAACATAAATGCATTCCTTCTATTGCTGTAATTGTTCCCCTGCCCTTTCTCAGAAATACCCACTGCCTTGGTCTCCCCATCTGAACACTCTCTGGGCTCCTACCTGAATCACTGTGTCTTGAATGGCCGTTCTTTTGGTCTCAAATCAGTGCTTGCGTCTCTCACTTTGAAGGCCTCTTTCACTTTTACTTTAATAATATGAACAGGTCTTGGACATTATTTCCATATCAGCAGTTATTGATTGTCCTCATTTTAAATGTATTCATTGTACACACACACACACACACACACACACACACACGTATATAATTTAAGGAATCCTCTAGCTTTTAGGTAGGATCTGGGGTTTTTTGTTTTTGTTCTTGTTTTTTTCTTTGCTATACTTGTATTGCTACACAAGCGATACTTGAGTGACTGTCTTCCTGTGTCTTTACAAACTTGTTCACTCACTGTCCATCCACGATGCGCTGTGTGCCAAGTCATCTCAACAAAACAGACAAGAACCCTGTTCTCTTGGAGTTTACTTTCTAATGGGAAAGAGGCTGAAAAGAAAAATATCCAGTAGTAAATTCTAAGGAAGTATAAATATTAAGAGTATTTTTTATTAGGGGATCAGAGAAGCTTCCTAAGGAGATGAAATTTAAGTTGCAGTATAAAGGACAAAGAACCTGCCTTGGGAGCATGGAAAGCAAGGGCTTTATGGAAGTAAGTCAGGGGGAGAGGGATCAAGTAGGTTAGAGAGAGGCAGTGCTAGGCAGCGGAAGGATTTAAGGGGGTAAGTAGCTTGACTTACATCATAGGTGGGATGCCGTAGGTTTGTTTTACTGGTAATTAAAAA